AGTCTGTTTTGATCAAATATGGATACTTAAACTGAAAATTTGTTCATTGTAGAATCCTCATTACCAACTTCACTCTTGCCTCTTTTCTTTGAAAATTTTTCTCTTTCGCAAGAGTACTTGAGTGCACGAAGAAATCGTCAAAAAAATAAAACAAAAAATTAAAAAAAAAAAAGCTTTAGGGTGAAAACCCAAAAATGAGTAGTCTAGAGCAAGAATGAGATTGCAACGTAAAAACTTATTGCAACCAATGATTAAGATGTGTGCAAGGGTTATCATAGAAAATCCTAGCCTTTCCCAATATAATCTTGAATTTACCATAGTTGGTTTTGATATCTATTAAAATACTACATTGTGATATTGAATAGGATGTCAAATTTGATTGTACTGTAAAAAAACCTTCCAAAGGAATTTGTTTTTAAGCCTAGATAAAAATTCAATTTTTCATATCAAGTTATGAGATCCCTTTTGATAATCAAGACCTCAATTTGGCAATAAACCATCTAAGCCATTTGAAAAGATGAAATTGCCATTTGTTTATATATGTACATAATAATGATCACCATTTTTTTTAGAGACTTAAGCGTCACATCGTTTCATAAAGGTTGACTAAGGTAATTTTTTGTGAAAATTTTGTCATTAAAATAAAATATTTTTAGGGAAGGAAAATAAAATATTGAAAAAATTTTTTTAAAAAAATGAGTGGCATAATAAAAGCACTTTTTAATACAAAAGTATGTTTAATCAGTTGAGTTCCACCATAATTTGATGAATTATTTTCTTCAATTCCCTTTCATCAAGTTCAAGTTAATCATTTGCATATTTGATCTGAAAATGAAAAAATGGAAAGAAAAGTAAAAAAATCTAAATTGTGAATAAAGAAAGCAGAGATTGATGAAAAATGAACGGCAAAGAAAGGATTTAGATATGAAATGAGATAAAAGATTCGAGATTGAAAGAACAAGAACTTTGAAAAATTTAAGAAAAGAAGAATTTGGGCAGTTATATATTTTGAATTTTTTTAATAAAAGAAAATTTTGAACATTTGAATCTTTTGACTTTTCATTTGCATCATTAGCTTGTCCATCATTGATAGGAATGTAAGTATTGGAATTTTTGTAAAAGACATTTGCATTTAATTTGCATCATTATTTTAAAAAAAGACATGTGCATCGTAATGGTGTTCGCCAATTTTAGAAACATTAAAGAAGATAAAAGAAAAGAAAGGGTAAAAACATATTCAAAAGATTAAGAATTTTTAAGAATTTCAATAAGATGGCACAAGATGAAAGCTTTAAGCCTATTCTAACTGGCATGAAAGTTGTTAACCTGATGAAATTGACATCAATTAAGAAAAATATTGTGATAAATTGTTTTCAAAGTATTCAGTGGTGATATTTGAGTATTAAAATATGGATTTCATTTTATTTGATGGTGATATCTGAGCCTTTTTTCAAAATTACTCAGTGATGATATCAAGTATTAAAAATTGTTTGCATTTTCTCTATGGTAATGTCTGAGTGTTAAAGCTGAAATTACATATTTCTAGGTGATGATATTTGAGTTTCCTTCGATGATGATATTTAAAATCATATATCTTCTCGATGGTGATATCTGAGTGTTAAAGCTGAAATTATATTTTTTCGATGGTGATATTTGAGTTTCCTTCAGTGATGATATCCGAAATTTCTTTGGTGATGATATTCAAAATGTTTTCGGTGGTGATATCCAAAATCATTTGCATCTTATCGATAGTAATATCCGAATGTTAAAGCTAGAATTACGTCTTCTTGGTGCTGATATCCAAGTGTTAAACCTAGAATTGTATTTTTTTGATGGTGATATTTGAGCTTTTTTCAATGGCGATATCCATAGTCATTCACATATTTTTAGTGGTGATATCTAATTTTTCTTCGGTGCCAATATCCGAAATCATTTGCATTTTCTTAATGGTGATATTCGAGTTTTTTTCGATGGTGATATCCGAAGTCATTTGTATCTTCTTGGTAGTGATATCCATATTTTTTTCGGTGGCGATATTTAAAGTTATTCGTATCTTTTCGATGGTGATATCCGAAGTTATTTTTCGATGGTGATATCTATGTTTTTGTTTCAATTTATTTTCGTTGAGTTTTTTGCTTAGAAGAGCTTTTTAAATTTATTTTCATTGAGCCTCTACATAGATGAGTCCTTTAAATTTTTAAAAGTTATCGAGTCTCTACTTAGAGAAACCTTTCATATTAAAAAAAAAAAGAGAAAAAAACTTTATGTTTGATGTTTTATCTTTTGTATGTGTTTGTCTGAACAAAATGGTTGTCTTTTGGTTTTTGTCTTATTTTTTATTCTTAAAAATAAACAAAGAGGGGTGGTTGTAGATACTCATTTTGTCCAGTATCTATTAATCCAAATATTATTATTATTATTATTATTATTTATCTTTATTTTATTTTTTTATTTTTTTCTTTTATGGTCTTTTTTCTGCCAGTCGCCAACTACCACATTGACAACCGACCTTGTTTTAGGTAGCCAAATTTCAACAAAAATCTTTGATTTTTTAAGATTTTGATCTTGTTTAGCTTTATAAATAGAGTATCTAAGACTAACCTATAAGAAAAATCCACGAAAAAAAGCTTGCTGAAAATAAAAAAAAAAAATTTAGATTTAAAAAAAGATTCTACCAAATTAAAAAAAAAGCTTTTTGTCAAAAAAAAAAAAACCAAAAACCAAAACCCAAAACAAACCAAACAAACACAAACTAAAGAAAATCCCAATCCGGGAACCAACAATGCTAAATAAAAATAAAACCAAAAATAAAAAATTAAAACCAAAATTAAAAAAAAAACTTTTGGTTGAATCTTTCAGGTCTGATTTGTATTGTTTGGAGTAATTTCTCACAAAAATAGGCTTAGATCTGTGTTGAAGGGCTTGAGATGAAGATCTTGGAGTTTTTTAAATTTTTTTCGGCTACAGTAACTGACGGACGGCATAACGCATTGGTGTCGAATTTTGAAAACAGGGATGGCCGGTTGGGCTAGAGAGAGAGAAAATATGGGAAAAAATAGAGGCAGAAAGAGAAGGAGAAGAAAGAAAATGAAAAAAAAAAAGAGTTTTTATAGTTGTTGCCAATTTTTTTTTTTTTTTTACAAAACAAGGTTGTTTAGGACCTAGAGGATCTGCGCTTGGACCCAAATTTGATTAGAGATCCGTGCACTCAACCTAGCTTCTGCTGTGAACTGGTGCTAGACTGTTAAACCGTTAGAAAACCGTTAAACTAATTAACCGCATTGTTTAATTGCTCTTTTGACCAATGTTGATCATAGGCATTTTAAGTATTTTCCCTGTAACTTTTTATTTTTTTATTTTTTTGCTTAATTTTTTTTATATATTTCTATTATTTAATTTATGATTTTTTTATTATTTTAATTTTATTTTTGTATAAACTTTTGATAGAAAAATAAAATAAATGGTAGAAAGTATAAAATATTTTTTATTGAAATTAATTTAAAATAATTGCTAAAAAATAAATGTAGGAAATTTTGAAAATTTTAATTTCCTCTTAAATATTTTTAAAAAATGAAATAATAATAATAAAAATTTTAATGAACAAGAATAAAGAAAAAATATAAAAAAACCAATAATAATAAATTATTAATAAAAAATAAAATCGCAAGTGGTGATTTTTCTTATAAAGAAAAATTTTAAAATATTTCAAAAGTGTTGAAAATATTTTTAAAATTTTTCATAAAAATAATAATAACCATATTCACTACAAATAAATAGAAAAAAAGTTAAATAAATGCATATAAAAATAATTATAACAATAGTAATAAAATCAGAAGTAATGATTCTTTAAAAAATATTTCTCAAAATTTTGTCAAAAATGTAGGTTAGATTTTTGAAAATCTTTTCAATAAAAATTAATAAAATATAAAAAATACTTAGATAGTTAAGGTAAATAAAATTTTAAAAGAATAGAAGTTACGAGTAGTGATTTTATCAAAATTTCTGAAGCAAGCAATTTTTTAAAAATATTTCAAAAGTGCTGAAAATATTTTGAGAATTTAACTAATAATTTTTTTACTTCAATAATAAAATAAACAATAAATTAATATTACAAAATAAATTAAATTTTTTGTCAAGAAATCAAAAAGAAGTTACAATTGGTGACTTTTCTCCAAATTTTTATCGTAAGTATTTATATATGAGAATTATGATCTACTTTGTTTGAAACAAAATATTAAAATAAAGATGATAATGGAGCTCTTTCAAAAAAATAAGTGATTTTTTTAAATACTCTTAAAGTGAAAATATTTTTTAAAGTTATATCGAAAGTATTGAGAATAGTTTAAAAAATTTTTAATAATAAAAATATAATAAATAATAGTAATAATAAAAATAAGTAAAAAACTAATCGAATAAGATCAATTTAAGATCATATAAGATTAATTGATATCATTTTCGAACGAGTATTGTGAGAATATTATAATCTTCCCTACATGTGATTGTATTTTTAAATCTAATTTTGATTTCATAGATAAAAAATAAGATTGGTGGCCAATCATAATAAAGCAAAAAAATTGATAATGACTCATAACTTTTCGCATATAGTGATCGAACCCGAACTATTACATTATGACATTCATTATTGGGTTTTTGGTTACATTTACTTAAATTATAATTTTAAAAAATATATTTCTTATATGTCTTAAGAATATATTTATTATAAAAAATATATTTATCGAAATTCAAAATTTTGACAAATTTTAATAAATTAACAAAGTGAAATATAAAAATTTGTTAAATAAATCTAATAAATAAGATTGAACAATGTCATTGTGGTATTCTGTTTTGAGATAAGTTAAATTTGAAGTTCATATTTTCGAAAAAAAGAAATACAAAGAAATTAAAAAACAAATAAAAAAACATTTTCTTTTTCATTCTTCTTCCAGTAAAATATCTTCAATTTTCATATTATTTATTTATTTATTTTTCTGTTTTCACTATAAATATTTATGACACTTTTTTTTATAGCTACTCCGGTTAATAGAATTCTTCTCAACTTCTTTCTCTTCTTTTCTCTCTTTCTTTGATCTCATCAAAAACCCTAATTTCCTATCGCAAAATCCCAACTTTTCCCCCAAATTCCCTTTTATTATCAATCCCACTTTTTCCTCCAAATTTTAACGGTGATAATTAAGAAAAAAGCCCTAACTTTTTCTTTAATTTGTAACTTTTTTCAACGCTTCGATCAATTCTCGATTGCCTTGAGAATTGATCGATTCTCAAAATCGTAAACTTTAATTCCTGAGATGTTCTGTTTCTGCTGAATATGAAGCTCAAGCGGAGGAGGTGTTTAGAAGTGGTAAGTAAAAGGGTATCCATTTTTTCAATTCAATTTTATTGTATTTTTTTGGTTTTCGATTTTTCGGTGTTGTTTTAGCTGTTAAAATGTTATGCAGTTTGGATTCTTATTTGTTTTTTATTGATCAAGGTAAAAGATTTTATGTTATTTTAAGCAAAGTTTTGATCTTTCAATTTTGTTCCTTTTTTTTTTTTTTTGATATAATAGTCCAGTTGAGACAGTGGTGGAATGGTTCATATATAATATTTCTAATTTATTAATCTTTTGAAATATTGTAAGTATTTTCTGATTTCCTTTAATACCTTGTAGTATAGGGACAAATAAGTAGTGCTCTATTTGATTAGTTGGCCAGGAAAACGATAGGAGGTGACATGAACTTAAATATTTACTTTGAAATTTGAATGAAAGAGCCTTTAAAATTATTTGGGTTTTGAAGCAAATTTCCAGTTTGAAAAACCTAAATAAAATTATCTGTCATCAAATAAAAAACTAAGTCAAAATGACATTGAAATGAAATCGACTTATTGGCTACATTTTATTGGCAACTGGTCGAGGCATTGTTTCTTGAATTTTGAATATGGTGTAATTTTAGAAATTTAAAGAAAATAAGTTTTCTTGCATTTGTTGCAATGTTGTTCTGTCTGTTGTTTACAAAATGCAAGGATATACATATAAGTCCTATGCTCATGCCCAAGAAGTAGGCTAAATGTAGCTGATAGGCACATAGAGTGATCTCAATACATTTTGATTGTATAAAGTATAGCTACTTGTCTAAGGGGACTGATTGTTGAAAGGTAAGCAATCTATTTTTATTGGCAATGGTTTTTTGCGGAGACTTGAGATTATATGCTTAGAGAGCAATGGAAACAAAATTTGGTTCCTTTTGTGGTATGTTTATGTTTTTCCCTTCTAGAAGTTATTTATTTTAGGAAGCTGAGATATTGGCATTGGTGTATTTTTCTAATTACTTGCTGTCTTGTTTCTCTCTTTGCTGTCCCTTTTGGTCTAGTAATTCTGCTTTCTGTTTATGTTGGTAGGATATGAATATCCAGAAATATATTGATGCTTATAAATAAAGTAACTGTTTTTCTTTTTGATTTGTGTCAGCCTGCCAAAATCAGATACTTCATCAATAGCGTCACGTCTGTGCCGCTCGAGAATATAGAGGAACCACTAAAAAATTTCGTTTGGGAGTTTGATAAGGTGCCTTTGTAACCTTTATCTGATAAGATGTTGTAGTTTCTGTAATGCAGTTATTTACACTTTGTTGTTATTGATGCAGGGAGATTTTCATCATTGGATTGAGCTTTTTAACCATTTTGATACATTTTTTGAGAAGCATATAAAATCAAGAAAAGATTTGCAGGTTGAGGATAATTTTTTGGGATCTGATCCTCCTTTCCCAAGGGAAGCAATTCTTCAAATTCTTCGTGTTATAAGAATAGTCTTGGAAAACTGCACAAATAAGCATTTCTATAGCTCTTATGAGGTATTTTTTGGTCTCGGAAATCCTGTTCTTTTGCATTATAAACTAGGCACTTTTTTTTTTTATTAAATATGTTAGTTAAACTGTATACTTTACAATCTTGAAATCTTTTTGCATTTCTTTCCAAGTGACAGATCGGTCATATTTAATTACTTTGAGGCGATTAATATGTCAATCATTTTCGCTTCTTTCTCTCATCTCTTCTTAATTTTCTTGTTTTTGGTTTCTTGTGGTTTGCAGCAGCATCTCTCATCCTTGCTTGCATCTACTGATGCTGATGTCGTTGAGGCTTGCTTGCAAACTCTAGCTGCTTTCTTCAACAAAACAAGTGGAAAGTACTCTATCAGAGATGCATCTTTGAATTCCAAGTTATTTGCTCTTGCACAAGGTTGGGGGGGAAAGGAAGAGGGTCTAGGATTGATTACATGTGCTTTACAGAATGGGTGTGATAGAGTTGCTGATGATCTAGGTTGTACTCTCCATTTTGAGTTCTATGCATCAAATGAGTTCTCTGCCTCTGAAAAGTCAACCCGAGGTTTACAAATTATTCATTTACCTAACATCAACATGCATCCAGAGACTGATTTGGAACTCTTGAATAAATTAGTTGCTGAGTATAAAGTACCAAATAATTTAAGATTTTCTTTATTGTCAAGATTGCGATTTTCAAGGGCTTTTGGCTCTTTTACATCTCGGCAGCAGTATACACGCATTCGCTTGTATGCCTTCATTGTTCTTGTTCAGACAAGCAGTGATGCTGATGACCTAGTTTCTTTCTTCAATAACGAGCCTGAGTTTGTCAACGAGTTAGTTACTTTACTGAGCTATGAAGATGCAGTTCCTGAGAAGATTCAAATTTTATGTCTGCTTTCTCTGGTTGCTCTTTGTCAAGATCGGTCCCGCCAGCCAACTGTATTGACTACTGTCACATCTAGTGGACACCGAGGCATCCTATCCAGCCTCATGCGGAAAGCCATTGATTCTGTTATTAGCAATACCTCAAATTCGTCTGTTGTGTTTGCTGAGGCTCTCTTATCTCTTGTTACTGCTTTGGTTTCTTCATCATCACGTTGCTCAGCCATGCATGAAGCAGAGTTTATCCCTACTCTTCTACCTTTGCTTAAAGATACTGATCCTCAGCATCTGCATTTGGTTAGTGCAGCTGTCGATATTCTGGAAGCCTTCATGGCCTTCATGGATTATAGTGATCATGCAGCTGCATTGTTTAGAGACATGGGTGGTTTAGATGATACAATCTCTCGCTTGAAACTTGAAGTTTCTTACGTGGAAAACAGTCCGAAGGAACAAGTAGAAGATCCTGATTGTAGTGGGAGGAGTTCACAAGTAGTTGCAGGTGCTTCAACTGAACTTGACAACATGCAGCCTTTATATTCTGAAGCATTAGTTTCCTATCATCGGCGGCTACTCATGAAAGCTTTGTTACGTGCTATATCTCTTGGAACATATGTCCCTGGAAACACTGCACGTGTTTATGGATCTGAGGAGAGTTTGTTGCCACAATGCTTGTGTATCATATTTAGACGAGCAAAAGATTTTGGTGGGGGAGTATTTGCACTTGCAGCAACTGTTATGAGTGATTTAATTCACAAGGATCCTACATGCTTTCCTGTCTTGGATGCGGCTGGTCTTCCATCTGCCTTTCTAGATGCTATAATGGATGGTGTTCTCTGCTCTGCAGAAGCCATAACATGCATACCTCACTGTTTGGATGCATTGTGTCTTAATATTAATGGTCTTCGGGCTGTGGAAGATCGCAATGCTTTGAGGTGCTTTGTCCAGATATTTACTTCTAGAACCTATTTGCGTTCTCTCACTGGAGATACTCCTGGCTCCTTGTCAAGTGGCTTGGATGAACTTATGCGCCATGCTTCTTCATTGCGTGCTCCTGGAGTGGATATGGTGATTGAGATCTTGAATGTCATACTGAAAATTGGATCTGGGGTTGACAGTTCTTGTCTTGCTGCTGAATCTTCTGCCCCTGTTCCCATGGAAACTGATGCTGAAGAGAGGAATTTGATTCAGCGAGATGACAGGGAATCTTCAAGGATCGAGAGTTCAGAGCAGCTGTCTTCTGATACTTCTTTGATGAACATTGAATTGTTTCTTCCTGATTGTATAAGCAATGTAGGCCGTCTTCTTGAAAACATTCTTCAGAATGCTGAGACATGCCGTTTTTTTGTTGAAAAGAAGGGGATTGATGCTGTCCTACAGTTGTTTACCTTGCCTTTAATGCCTGTTTCAGCATCAGCTGGAGAGAGCATTTCTGTTGCCTTCAAGAACTTTTCGCTTCAGCATTCTGCATCTTTGGCTCAGGCAGTTTGTTCATTCCTGAGGGAACATCTTAAGTCAACAAATGAACTGTTAGCTTCTATTGGAGGAACTCAGCTAGCTGCTGTTGAACCTGGAAATCAAACTAAGATTTTGAAATTTCTTTCTAGTCTTGAAGGTATATTGTGTCTTTCCAATTTTCTTTTGAAGGGAACAACAAGTGTTGTCTCTGAATTGAGCTCTGCAGATGCCGATGTATTGAAAGATCTTGGGAGGACATACAGGGAAATAATATGGCAAATTTCTTTATCTAATGATTCCGTGGCTGATGAGAAGCGGAATGCTGATCAAGAAAGTGAGAGTACAGATACAGCTCCGTCAAATGCTGCTGCTGGAAGAGAAAGTGATGATGATGCCAGTATCCCAGCTGTGAGGTATATGAACCCAGTTTCTATTAGGAGTGGTTCTCAGTCTTTGGGGAGTGCTGAACGAGAGTATCTTTCACTTCTTCGGTCACCAGAATATTTGCACCGTCGTAGTCGACATGGTTTGTCCCATTTAAGGGGTGGAAGGAATGGCCGACACCTGCATGCTTTACATATTGATTCTGAAGTTTCTCCCAATTTACCAGAGATGTCATCTCTCCAGGATTTGAAAGTCAAAAGTCCTCATCTTCTTGTGATAGAAATTCTTAACAAGCTTGCTTCCACATTACGGTCTTTTTTCACAGCTCTTGTGAAGGGGTTTACCTCACCAAACCGTCGTAGAGCAGATTTAGGATCATTAAGTTTGGCTTCAAAGACCCTTGGTATGGCCCTGGCTAAAATATTTCTTGAGGCACTGAGTTTTTCTGGCTATTCTTCTTCGGGGCTTGATACATCACTTTCAGTCAAGTGCCGGTACCTTGGAAAAGTTGTGGATGACATGGGAGCACTGACATTTGACAGCAGGCGGCGTACATGTTATACAGCAATGGTTAATAATTTCTACGTCCATGGAACCTTTAAGGAGCTACTTACCACCTTTGAAGCTACTAGTCAGTTATTGTGGACACTACCATACTCTATCCCTACACCTGGTATTGAACATGAGAAGGCAGGTGAAACAAATAAATTTTCACACAGTACATGGCTGCTTGATACATTGCAATGCTACTGCCGCATTCTTGAGTATTTTGTTAATTCTACGATACTTCTGTTTGGGAATTCTGCATCCCATACTCAGCTGCTTGTTCAGCCAGTTGCTGCTGGTTTGTCAATTGGGCTTTTCCCTGTTCCTAGGGATCCAGAAACCTTTTTGCGTATGTTGCAATGTCAGGTGCTGGATGTGATTCTACCTATCTGGAACCATCCTTTGTTTCCTAATTGTAGTCCAGGTTTTGTGGCTTCAGTTGTTTCGATTGTCATGCATGTATACTCGGGTGTTGGAGATGTGAAACGAAACCGCAGTAGCATTACAGGAAGTACAAACCAACGTTTCATGCCACCACCACCACCAGATGAAGGTACCATTGCCACCATTGTTGAGATGGGTTTTTCAAGGGCTAGGGCAGAGGAAGCACTGAGGCGAGTTGAAACAAATAGTGTTGAGATGGCCATGGAGTGGCTGATTAATCATACTGAAGATCCTGTGCAAGAGGATGATGAACTGGCTCGGGCGCTTGCTTTATCACTTGGAAATTCATCAGAGACATCCAAAGTTGACAGTGTTGACAAGCCAATGGATGTCATGACAGAAGAAGGGCAGCCTTCAGAACCTCCAATTCATGATATCCTTAGTGCATCTGTGAAGTTGTTCCAGAGTAGTGATAGCATGGCATTTTCATTGACAGACTTGCTTGTAACATTGTGCAATCGTAACAAAGGAAAAGAGCGCCCAAGAGTGTTATCCTTTCTTATTCAGCAACTGAAGCTGTGTCCGCTGGATTTTTCAAAGGATTCTAGTGCATTGTGTATGATTTCTCATATTTTAGCACTGCTTCTTTCTGAGGATGGCAATACTCGTAAAATTGCTGCCCAGAAGGGTATAGTACCTGCTACTATTGATATCCTGAGCGACTTCAAGGCTAAAAATGAGTTGGGGAATGAAATTATGGCACCAAAATGCATCAGTGCTTTACTGTTGGTCTTGGATAACATGTTGCAGTCTCATCCAATAATATTTTCTGAGATGGTGGAGGGTCAGCATGTGAAGGAATCTATAACTCCATTTGAGAAAATATTGGGTAGATCTATTGGCTACTTGAGTATAGAAGAGAGTCATAAGTTGCTGCTTGTTGCTTGTGACCTAATCCAGCAGCATGTTCCAGCAATGGTCATGCAGGCTGTTCTGCAGTTATGTGCTCGTTTAACAAAAACACATGCTCTAGCTTTGCAATTTCTTGAGAATGGAGGCTTGGTTGCTCTTTTTCGTCTTCCAAGAGCTTGTTTTTTCCCCGGTTATGATACTGTTGCATCTGCCATTATCAGACATCTCCTTGAAGATCCTCAGACTTTGCAAACTGCTATGGAATTGGAGATTAGACAGAATTTGAGTGGAAGCAGGCATGCTGGACGTGTTTCGCCTCGAACATTTTTAACATCAATGGCACCTGTTATCTGTAGAGATCCTGTAGTTTTTATGAAAGCTTCAGCTGCAGTTTGTCAGTTGGAGTTGTCAGGTGGAAGACCCTTTGTAGTTCTATTGAAGGAAAAAGAGAGAGAGAAGGACAAATTGAAAGCTTCTGGTGCTGAACTTGGATTATCTTCAAATGAATCTGTGCGAATTACCGAGAATAAGGTAAATGATGGAACAGGTAGATGTTCCAAAGGCCACAAAAGGGTTCCAGCCAATCTTGCTCAAGTGATTGATCAGCTTCTTGAAATAGTTTTGAAATGTTCTTCTGCCAAAGGCCAGGACGTTAGTGCGAGTGACTTAACTTCAATGGAGATTGATGAACCTGCAAGCAAGGTGAAGGGTAAATCGAAGGTTGAAGAAAGAAGCAAAATGGAGTCTGAAACTGAAAGATTTGCAGGGCTTGCTAAGGTGATTTTTGTCCTTAAGTTATTGAGTGATATTCTTTTAATGTATGTACATGCTGTAGGGGTCATATTGAAAAGGGATTCAGAAATGGGTCAACTTCGTGTGTCTAATGAAGCAGATGCATCTGGAACCCCTGGCATTCTTCCTCATATTTTACATAGGTTGCTTCCACTATCTGTTGATAAATCTGCAGGACCTGATGAATTGAGGGACAAGTTGTCTGAAAAAGCTTCATGGTTTCTGGTGGTTCTATGTGGTCGTTCCAGTGAAGGCCGTAAAAGGGTGATTAATGAACTTGTGAAAGCATTATCTTCTTTCTCAAATTTGGAAAGAAATTCAATGAAGGGCTCCCTGGTGCCTGATAAAAGGGTTTTTGCTTTTGCTGATTTGGCCTATTCAATTTTGTCAAAGAACTCATCCTCAAGCAACTTACCTGGTACAGGCTGCTCGCCTGATATAGCAAAAAGCATGATTGAGGGAGGAGTGGTTCAGTGTCTAACCAACATTCTTGAAGTGATTGATTTGGATCATCCTGATGCACCCAAAACTGTAAATCTGATACTCAAGGCTTTGGAAAGCCTGACTAGGGCTGCTAATGCAAATGAGCAGGTTTTCAAGTCTGAAAGGTCCAACAAGAAGAAGTCATTGTCTTCAAATGGAAGACATGCTGATCAGATAACTGTATCTACTGCTGAGGCCATAGAGCACAATCAGAATGGGGGTGGTCAACAAGTAGTTGTAGATTTGGAGGATACTGCTCAACAGCAACATCAAGGAACTTCACAAATTGAAGGCGATCACAATGCAAATCCAAATGATTCTATTGAACAAGATATGAGAGTTGAAGTGGAGGAGACAGCAGCTAGCAACAGACCCACAGAACTTGGGATGGATTTCATGCGTGAAGAAATGGATGAAGGTGTATTACACAATACTGACCAAATTGAGATGACATTCCAAGTGGAGAATAGGGTGGATGATGATATGGGCGATGAGGATGATGACATGGCAGATGATGGGGAGGATGATGAGGATGATGACGAGGGGGAGGATGAGGATGAGGATATAGCAGAAGATGGTGCTGGGATGATGTCTCTAGCTGATACTGATGTGGAGGACCATGATGATACTGGTTTGGGAGATGACTATAATGATGACATGATGGATGAAGAAGATGATGACTTTCATGAGGTAAGGTGGAGGAGGGAAGTCCTTGATGAGCCTTTTCAAGGTGTGAATGTCGATGATCTCTTTGGTCTTCGTAGGCCTGTAGGTTTTGAACACAGGCGATCTAATGGTAGGTCTTCCTTTGAGCCTTCTGTTACGGAAGTAAATAGCTTTCAACATCCTCTTCTGTTAAGACCACAGCAGTCAGGGGACTTGAGCTCAATGTGGTCATCAGGTGTAAATTCATCCAGGGATTTGGAAGCTCTCTCATCTGGGAGTTTTGATGTTACTCATTTCTACATGTTTGATGCTCCTGTTCTGGCATATGATCATGCACCAAGTAGTCTGTTTGGTGATCGATTGGGTAGTGCAGCACCGCCGCCTTTAGCTGATTATTCTGTAGGCATGGACTCATTGCATTTGCTAGGGAGAAGGGGGCCTGGTGATGGGCGGTGGACTGATGACGGCCAGCCACAAGCAAGCGCTCAAGCTGCAGCAATTGCACAGGCAGTAGAGGAACTGTTTTTATCTCATTTACACAGTACTGCTCCAGCCAACAATTTGGCGGAAAGGCAATCGCAAAATTCTGGAATCCAGGAGACACAACCATCAGATGCTCTTCCATCAAATGATGGCAAACCTGCGGTAGAGGGAGACAATGCCAGCAGTCAGCAGAGTGAAGATCAGCAGCAAGAAAATGGCAATGAAATTTCACATGAACTTAATCCTACAATTGAAAGTGTTTCGTGCTATGAGCAGCTCAATCCTCTGCCAATCATTGGTGATGCGGCTGAATCTGTTCAGGGGCATGAAGGGATATTAACTCAGCCACTGTCTTTGAACGGTGCACCAAATGAGTATGATAGCATGGAAATTGGGCAAGGGAATGTCACTGCTGCTGATCAAGTAGAGCAAATTTCTGATATGGTTAACTTGCCTGAGGGGGATTCTGGTGTGCCTGGAAGCCTCTCGATTCTGGCATTGGGTGCTGACGGATTGCCTGGAGCAGACGGTCAGGCAGGTAATAATGTTTTGGCTGATTCTGGTTTGGAGATGCTTAACCCTGGTGATTCTAATGTGTCATTATTTCTTGAAAGTGTTGATGTTGACATGAATACAACTAATGCCGAAGGGAACCAAAATGGACAATCCATTCCTTCTTCTGAAATTGGTGCAGAGGAGCCAGCTTCTCGGCAAAACAACCTAGATGCTCAGGATGCTAGTCAGGCTGACCAAACTAGTGTCAATAATGAGGCTTCTGGAGCTAATGCCATTGATCCTACCTTTTTGGAGGCGCTACCTGCAGATCTACGGGCAGAAGTTTTGGCTTCCCAACAAGCTCAACCTGTTCAACCTCCAACTTATGTGCCACCTTCAGCAGATGATATTGATCCTGAGTTCTTAGCTGCTCTTCCACCAGACATTCAAGCAGAAGTGTTAGCACAGCAAAGAGCACAGAGAGTTGCACAGCAAGCTGAGGGTCAACCTGTGGACATGGATAACGCTTCGATCATTGCCACTTTCCCTGCTGATTTGCGTGAAGAGGTTTGCAATATGAACTTTCCCCCTCCTTATTAAATGAACTATTGTAACTCCTTTTAGCCTTTGTTCCAGGTGCTTTTGACTTCTTCAGAAGCAGTTTTGTCAGCATTACCTTCTCCATTACTTGCTGAAGCTCAAATGCTTAGGGACAGAGCAATGAGTCATTACCAGGCACGTAGTCTTTTTGGAGGTAGCCACAGGCTAAATAATCGGAGGAATGGTTTGGGTTTGGATAGGCAAACAGTGATGGACAGGGGTGTTGGAGTTACACCAGGTCGAAGGTCGGGCTCTACCATTTCTGATAGCTTAAAAGTTAAGGAAATTGAAGGGGAGCCTCTTCTGAATGCAAATTCTTTGAAAGCTTTGATTCGCCTTCTACGGCTAGCACAGGTATTGCTATTTACTGTTTTTCATGTTTCAATGATCAGTCAAACTTAATGGTTGTAGATTGACAACATTAACATCAACTTGATGATTGAAATGCAATATTAAGTTTTAGTCCTGGAAAGACTGGTTTTGTTCAAATTTAGTTTCTCCAAATTGTTAGTGAAATTTGAAAATTTTGAAAATTCTTGTATTTTTCTAACACGCTGGTTTTGGTGTATATCTGTTTGTAGCCCCTTGGGAAAGGTCTTCTGCAGAGGCTTCTGTTAAATCTTTGTGCACATAGTGTTACGAGGGCCACTTTGGTAAAGCTCTTGCTTGATATGATTCAATCTGAAACTGAAGGCTCAAGCAATGGTTTGTCAACAATTAATTCCCAAAGGCTTTATGGTTGCCAGTCAAATGTTGTTTATGGTCGATCACAGTTGTTTGACGGTAATGCTTTTATCTAATATAATTGCACCTTTATACATTCTTTTCCCTTATCTTACCCTTGATTTTATATTTTGCAATAGGTCTTCCACCTCTTGTACTACGCCGTGTTCTTGAGATGTTGACTTATTTGGCTACAAATCATTCCACTGTTGCAAATATGTTGTTCCACTATGATCCTTCAATTCTTTCTGAGCCTTTGATTCCAGAAAACTCAGAAACCAAGAAAGATAAAGGCAAGGAGAAAATTATGGATGGAGTTTTATCAAAACCCTTGGGTAACTCTCAGGAAGTGGATGTTCCTTTAATATTATTTCTTAAGCTCTTGAATCTGCCGCTGGTTTTGCGCAGCACTGCCCATCTCGAGCAGGTAGTACTGTTCTAATGAGTTGCTCTTTTAAATATCTTATCACACATTAGCTTTGGCTGTTACTCCTAATGGGATATTGATATGATATTCTATCTTATTCTATGTCTTAATATGGTTTTTAATGGTGCAGGTTGTTGGCTTGCTTGAAGTAGTTGCCTATATAGCAGCATCAAAATTAGTGAGCCAGTCACTCTCTGATTTGGCAGTTGACAATTCAAATTCCCAGAACCTGCTCACCAATGAAGCTTCTGGTGATGCTCATAAGGATCCTCCTTTGTCAGAACTGGAGTCCAATCAAGAGGATAGATGTACCAATGCTGAATCCTCTGCATCCAATAGCCATAGAAATGTGGATTTGTATAATATTTTCTTGCAGCTGCCAGAGTCTGATTTACACAATTTGTGCAGTCTTCTTGGTCGTGAGGGGTATTATGTTCTGATTCTTATCTCAGGATGTGTTGAAAGTTATTTATTTTTCTTAGGATTTTAACTCCATGTTCCTTTTTCTTTCACATATTTCCCCTGGAATAGCTATTTATTTCTTTTCCTTTGCTGAATTTTTCTAATATTTTCTTTCAGGCTGTCAGATAAAGTTTATATGTCAGCTGGTGAGGTGCTGAAGAAGTTGGCCTCAGTTGCTATGACCCATCGCAAGTTCTTTACATCAGAGCTTTCAGAATTAGCTCACGGATTGAGTAGTTTGGCTGTCAATGAGCTTGTAACTCTGAGGAATACACAGATGCTGGGTCTGAGTGCAGGTTCCATGGCTGGATCTGCTATTCTACGTGTGCTACAAGTGCTTAGTTCACTCACTTCAACTGTTGGTGATGATACACTACAGGATGGTGATGGTGAACAGGAAGAGCAAGCGACCATTTTGAAACTAAATGCATCATTAGAGCCATTGTGGGAAGAATTGAGTAATTGTATTGGCATGACTGAAGCACAGCTGGCTCAGAGCTCTCTTTGTTCAGCTTTGTCTAATGTAAATGTTGGGGACAATGTACAGGGAACATCCTCATCGTTACCACTTCCACCTGGGACTCAGAGACTCCTTCCTTTCATTGAGGCTTTCTTTGTTTTGTGTGAAAAGCTACATGCAAATCATTCTATCATACAGCAAGATCATGTAAATGTAACTGCACAAGAAGTAAAGGAGTCTGCTGAGTGTTCTGCTTTGATATCCACTAAGTGCAGTGGAGATTCTCAGAAGAAGCTTGATGGTTCTGTCACATTTGCAAGGTTTGCTGAGAAGCATCGCAGACTTCTGAATGCTTTTGTTAGGCAGAATCCTGGCTTGTTAGAAAAATCACTTTCGATGTTGCTGAAAGTTCCAAGATTGATTGACTTTGATAACAAGAGAGCATATTTCCGTTCAAGAATAAGGCAACAGCACGAACAGCACCTCACTGGTCCACTGCGGATAAGTGTGCGGCGGGCATATGTTTTGGAAGACTCTTACAATCAGTTACGAATGCGACCTACTCAGGATCTCAAGGGTCGTTTGAACGTGCAATTTCAAGGTGAAGAGGGTATTGATGCTGGTGGTCTAACAAGAGAATGGTATCAGTTACTGTCAAGGGTTATTTTTGACAAAGGAGCATTGCTTTTTACTACTGTGGGGAACAATGCAACTTTCCAGCCAAATCCCAATTCTGTTTACCAGACTGAGCATCTTTCTTACTTCAAATTTGTCGGCCGTGTGGTAGTCACTTGGCTGTTAAGTTCGGAGGTATTTATTGCGATTTGCTTTAGTTTTATTCTTATTTTTCTCTTTGGTGAATCATATATGCAGGTAGCAAAAGCACTTTTTGATGGTCAACTTTTGGATGTTTATTTTACTCGATCCTTTTACAAGCACATACTTGGTGTTAAGGTGACCTACCATGATATTGAGGCAGTTGACCCTGATTATTACAAGAATCTGAAGTGGATGCTGGAGGTTGGTTTAGTTGAGCAATTTCTTCCCCTAGTTTTTTAAACTGACTTCTCACATAGTGCATTAGAGCTAATGATTCCATTTGAAGGACTAGTCCCTCATTGTTTTTCATGGTCTTATTTCAGAATGATGTGAGTGACATACCTGACCTAACTTTTAGCATGGATGCTGATGAAGAAAAGCACATACTTTATGAAAAAACTGAGGTATTTAAATGAATAATGAATTTTTTTCCGATATTTTTTCTTTTCTTGTTATTTTCTCTCATATCTTCTGATATTGTGATCTTTTACTTGAAAAAGGTTACTGATTATGAGCTTAAACCTGGAGGAAGAAACATCAGAGTTACTGAAGAAACAAAACATGAGTATGTAGACCTTGTTGCTGATCATATCTTGACAAATGCTATTCGTCCTCAAATCAATTCCTTCCTCGAGGGATTTAACGAATTGGTCCCACGGGAACTTATTTCAATTTTTAATGATAAAGAGCTTGAGTTACTAATCAGTGGACTCCCTGAAATTGATTGTAAGCTTACCACAACCTTTCCTTTTGTACTTGTCATCGAGTTCAACTCTGGTTATTTTATTATCTGATCATTATTTTTATTTTGCAGTGGATGATCTTAAGGCCAATACCGAGTATACCGGCTATACAGCTGCATCTCATTTTATTCAATGGTTTTGGGAAGTTGTTAAAGCTTTTAACAAAGAGGACATGGCAAGACTGCTGCAGTTTGTCACTGGAACATCAAAGGTAATTTTATTGATTATATTAAATGGTTTGGGTTCTTGCCGGTTGGCATCCGTATCAATTCTATTGGGTGTGCAGGTGCCATTGGAGGGTTTTAAGGCATTGCAGGGCATCTCTGGTCCACAAAGGTTTCAGATTCACAAGGCATATGGAGCTCCTGAGCGGCTGCCTTCTGCACATACATGGTGACAAATAATTTTTGACTGCTGTGTTGAATTTCTTCCCTATTTTGTAATTTATATTCTTTTCATTTTGTTTTTAACCTTTTTTATTTTTACTCCAGCTTTAATCAGCTAGATCTTCCCGAGTATTCCTCCAAGGAACAGCTTCAGCAACGTTTGCTGCTTGCTATCCACGAAGCTAGTGAGGGTTTTGGCTTTGGTTGAACAAAGTTTGCATTACAATGTCATTGTCCCAGCAACACCTGCAATCCATCTACAGATCTACAGTTTATATGTTAGTATAAGATCCTGTTCTCAACTTCCATATGCCCATGTATAAATCCACATGTTGGTCCATCGTGAATCTGATTACTGATGTGTGTTCATTTTCTGTTTCCCTGTGCAGAAGCTGATGGATTTGGCCAATGCAAGGAAAAGGTACTAATCTTAAAAAGTGTCAGAAATTGGATTTCAGATGCCCCAAAAGAATGCATAGAATTGGAGAGTGATGGTGCTTATGCCTTTAGTTTTGATTACTGGCGGGCTTCTCAACAGCAACAATGCAGAGGAAAATGATATTCTTTTTATCAAGTGATTGAGGGAGCACTCCAAAGATGGTTCTATTGTTTATATAAGTTTTGTTTTTCTTTCTAATTCCTGGAAAATGCTCACATGGCTAATTTTCTTTTTGGATTAGCCTATGCCCTCATACTTTATTGCTTAGTTCATACAATAAGTTAGTGATTGTTTATATTAAATCATCCCACATTGTCTTTTCTGTGTCCTTAAATTTCAAGGGCTTTTTTTTTTTTTTTTTTTTTTTTTTTTTTAATTTTATGCTCTTAGAAATCAAGCTAGAAAGCTCCATATCTTTTACTCAATTGCCAGGAAGTCATATATAACAATGAGCATAGTTCTTTTCCTTGTACATTTGACTTCTACTTTTTCCATTGCCACTGTCATTATCGGGTTAAATGTTCAATTTAAAATTAAATATTAATATTTAGGTGATTCTTAATTCATGATTAAGTATTTTATTTGATATGAATAAAAATTAAATGTTATCTATTTATAATGATATAAAATTTTTTTAAACAAAATTTGGATGAAATATACAAGTGATAATATAATATTAAGGGCTCAATGAAATTTAAAATTTGAAAATCTTCATTAACGGGGTTTTGTCAAAATTTCATGGGTTTCCTTAATTCAATAGTGGTAAACGAAGCCAAATTTGAAAATCTTCATTAATTGATAAAAGAAAAGAGAAAATTTAAATTTGAAATAATTAAAATAATTACTTTTTATAAAAATCTAAAAATAAAATTTACTTTTGATTTAAATCCAAAAACTTCAAATCATAATAATTCAAATTTAAATTCATCTTATCCAACATGATTTGAATTCAATATATCTATTCTTTTTTCATTGAAATCTTTCTTTAAGGCAAATAAAATTATCAATTGAGTTAACTTTGCGTTGATGTACTTCTAGATTTTTATGTTTAAGTATTTTCATAAATCGTGATTAAATTATTGTTAACAAGAATAATAATTTAATTAAACATTATATTGTTTTTCAGTTTCCATTACAATTATGGTTTTCATTGACCATCATGTCCACCGCATGCTCTTCTTGCCCCAATGGATATGATTTCGATTGTCGTCAAAAAGATCACTCAGAATCTTGGGTAGTGTCTTGTCGATGGCCTCCATCTTGATGCCCCATAAAAGTTGCTTTTTATTTTTTAAAAGCAATTTTCATTGTGATTTATGTCTAAGAATCTTAAAATCTTTATATCAAAACATTTAATTTTTTTTAATTATAAATGTGTGTATCTCTTACGTAAAAAAAAAAATAATAAAAAAAAATATATATTTATGAAATTTATTTATAGCTTTAGGATTATAGGTTTAAGTTTTATAGTGTATAAATTTAATTTAATTTTATGTTAAATTTATTTAATTATATTTTAATTTTTTAATTTTTTATTGAATAATTTTTTATATATAAATATAATATTTAATTATAATCATAATTTATATTTATAATTTAAAAAATATTTTTTAAATAAAGAAAACCTTAAAATTCTGACGAATTATCTTTCACAATTTCAAGTCAGCTCAATGCTACATCAAAATTTCACAAAATTACAACCGATTTAAACAAGAAAATAAAGAATTCAACAAAAATAATATAATTCTAATGCAATATTACGAAATTATATAATATTATAATTAGAATAATATATAAAATTATGATATGAATATGATATGATATATAATTCTTTCTTTAATAAATGAAAATATTTTATACATAAATATAACATCTTTACACAATATTTTTGAAATTAATAAATAAAAAATTCTTCATACCTTCATACCTAATATGGTAGTATGCACTTGCAGACTTATACACACTCCAAATAAAGGATTGATTTATTTATACCAAACTCTACCACTGCCAAAAAAAAAAAAAAAGCTGAAAACCAGAATCAAAGCTGAAAAGTGAAAGAAAAATCATTTCCGTTTTCCATGATTATATGTGTATATGTGTGTATATATATATATATATGAATCAACGTTGAAGGAGACGCGAAAACCTGATACATGGTCCCGAAAGGGTGGTCGGTTTAAAACTCATGTTCACATGATTTGTGAATATAAAAAGGGAAAGGTGACGATTTTAAAATTCAAGTTCATATGTTATTTAAAATTTTTTTTAATCATTAGGTCAAAAAGGGGAAGACAAGTTTCCGTTTTTCTTATCTGCATATATATATATATATATATATATATATATATATATATATCGCATAACCAGCGTGGAAGGAGACGCGGAGGCTTGACGGATGGTCTGTGGAAAAAATGAAGAAATCTGACACGTAAAGCGGAAAGATATTGAAAAAACCGAAAGGAATCCCATACAATTTTGTAATCTCATACCATTAATTTGCTCACCAATTATTTATTAAACATGCTAGTTTCATTAATTTCATAATAATATTTTGACTTAGTTAATTCCATTGTATGTACGGCCATTAGGAAATCAAAATTGCAATATTAAACCCACTTTATAAAGTATTATATGTAAAGCCAAACTAATAATTAATTACTAGGATTCATTTTTCTCTTGTTGCTAAGTATTGACAATTATGTTAAGATTGAAGTGTAATTGAGTTAAATTATTTTTTTATTTAATATTATTAAAATTAAAAATTTAACATCTTATCAATAAATGAATACTTGATAGCTGAGCCATATTATTTTTTAAGTCTACTTTACAAAAAGCAAGCAGTGGGAATAAAACTTTGATCTTTGGACTTTGAGAAGAAAACGGCAAAGACAAGTCAGAGAAAATAAGTTATTCTTTCATATGAATTGTAGTGAAATTTCTCAAGTAAATTATAGAAGGTTGGCCATAACCCACACTTTTTCTTTTCTTTTTTTTTTCTGGTTAATGTTGGAGCCACTTAACCTAATTCTTCTCAGTTTTGATTCTAAAGAGAGGGCAAATAAGGTAAAACTCATTAATTATCAAGAAGGGTATAATATATATTAATATAATTTGTTTCATGCATGTTTGAATGAGATCAGATTAATTATATGCTCATCAAGTTCTAATAATTTGATTTTATTATTATTTTAATAAGGTTTCTATCAATTCTAATGTTACATTATTCTTTAGTAATTTCTACATTTAAGCCTATGATCTTTTCAACATTAACTTCTCATTTTCCTTGCCAAGAGTTAATTTCTGCGGTGACTCAAGCTGATCTTTGGGTCTTTGCACATGGGCTTTTTGAAAATTTTCCTGGAAATTGAACCATCTTAATTCATGGGTATCATGCGGCCATGCAATCCATGGATTTCTTCTCTATACATTTTCCAGGAAATTAAAACTCTCCTCTTTTTCTATGTTATTTGATCGATATCATTGTCAATGACTTTTCTCTTGATTTTCCTCCATCTTTTCCTAACTTTTTTTTGTCTTTTTCCTAATTCCTTCTTGACTTGTGGAGAAATAAATTTTCATCTTCAAAAGTGAAAACACATGGATTATTCATTTTGTTTCCTTTTCATATGAAGTAAGTAAGAAGAAGATATATAAAACTCACTCTCATGGCTTCCAAAAGAAAAGCTTCATATATAGTTTAGTTTCTATAAAATTAAGGTATTGATTAAGAATCACTTTATCTAAAGATTTTACATATCTAAGTTAAAATGACTTCATGACATGGTGTCAATTAATTAAAACCTCTTTCATTAAGTAGTTAATTAAAATTTACTTTGGACCAACATATTAAGACCACGCCATAAATTCTTAGCTGTTTTGTTTTTTTTTCAACCGGAATTGTTGGGAATGTAGATGTATATGTACGTATGTATGTAAGTCTAGTTTTTGTTTATTGGTTGTCTCTTTCTTAATCTTGTATGACTTAATTATTTCAAAAGTCGTTATATTTTCCTGTTCCTAAATTGTAAACAGGCTGAAAGTGTCAAATGGGATATATTCCATGTTATTATTGAGCAAGCAAGAGTTGGTTTATATATCGACTTTGAAACTCATCCATGAATTTATTGAAACCAATGAGTTTTGCAACATATATTTATGAAGGACAATGGTGTTTCCTGTGTGGTTTTAGGTCAAGGTCATGCCAAAAAATTAAGGATTGAAATGTAGAAACTAGTGTGTTATTAATTATATGTGAAATTAATTACATGATTTGATTTTCTACAAGTTCACATGGCCAACGACTGTCCCTTTCGACTAGGGTATATATGTGCAACTATATATATATATATATATATTGTTTAAGTTCAATTCAGGCAGGAATGTTTGGCTTGATTAGGGTAAGATCATAGTTTATTTTGTTATCATTGTGAGAATTATATAAAAAAAATGGAAGTAGAGATAATAAAATTTTCATTTTCTCACAAACAAGAGATTATCTAAAGTAATTAATGCCTGGAGCATGTTTACAAACATGATTACAAACTTGTCTCTCATCTGATTGATCAAAGTGAAATGCATTAATTTGACTAAATCAAAGCTTGACCAGGAAAAGCAATCAAATTCTTTTGGAAACTTCAAGGAGCTAACAGCTTCCAGCGGAGTTTCAGAAATAATTGCAGCAGCAGCAGCAGCAATTTGTTGTTGACCTCAAAATACCATTGGCCAAACGATTCTTGCAGCTAATTATTCTATCACTGCTAAGCATCATTATTCTTTTACAGACTCTTGTAGTTGTAGCCGCCATAGCCACCTTCCTGATTCCAAGCTGTTTTGCAGTAACAAACAAATCTGATCTGTGGTTGGTTCCAAAGTCATATGGAAAGCAACTGGGTAATTTTGCACCCAAAAAAGAAGAAGAAAAAAAGAACTAATGAACAAAAGAAAACATCAGAGGAGGACAAAGACAAGTAGTTAGAGAAAAATTAGAAGCCATATTGATTATAATATAAATCTGAGTATCTAACATGGTTTTCCATGCTAAATATTTGCTGGAATTGTTCAGATTTATATGCAATGGCTTCAATCTTTTTCCCTTCTCTTATCTTTCTCTTCTCTGATGCTTTTTTACTGATCATGATCTCCCCTCTTTTTTCCTTCTCGTTTCTTTTCTTGCCTGGCCTGCACAATTATAAATGTAATCAATATAAGTTAGGAAAACACTTCATAAAATTTACTGATTTTTGTGCAATAATAAGCCACAGCATGAATTCTATTGTCAATACCTTCATTTTCGACGATCTCAAATTTTCATGAATGGCTTATGGCTTGAAGTTAGGCTTTCTTTCCATGGATCTTTCCTTCTTTTTCTTCGTCTGCTCTCCACATATCATGTCTGCAAAACCAGAAGCCTGATGCAACCCTGATGAAAATGTTTGCAAGTGCAAGAAAAGCCAATTGATGTTAGCAATCTAA